ATAAGCCTAAAGAGAAGGAACTGGAATGTAGAGGAAGCAAGTTTTAACTACACTTTCTTTGTTACAGATTGCCTCCTAGCAGCCCCTGGGTTGGAAAATCAAACATTTAGTTTGAAACTTGTGAAGAGGGGAAACAGCTGGTGGAGGAATAACCTCCGCTGTTTCTTAACTCCATCTTCCCCTTGCAGTACATGTTTAGTTATATTGTGTAATGTAGTTAGGCCCACAATTTTCATTGGTGATCCACTTTATAGGGTTGCTGAGGGGATGCGCAAATAAGATAATGTTAGCAATACACATATTCGATTTCCTGATACTGTCAGAAGTGAAATAAATGATCCTTCAATGTTAATACCTAATAAGGTACTACATATTCATTTTCTGCTGCATAAGACCCACCACTAGGAGAAAAAGCCAACATTTTTCTACAATGGCAGTGTGGAGATAACATTTTGTATAGCATCTGTGTGTCCTCATTGCTCTTGCTGCTTTTAGATTTTTATTGCAGTTCACCAGCCTTGGAGTTCCATAAAGTTTGTTGAACATCTCTGTGTTAAATCAGTGGTGAAGAGCTGGGTGGGTCTTAGATGACCAAGCACGTCTTGATAACTTCAATGATGGACAGATTATAGGTTGAACGGGAATGTCTGTTGCCATTTAAAATAATCTCAAATGCAGTGGAATGGCAGGCATCCCACTCTTTGGATGACTTAGTTGAAATTCTATCTGTCTGTTTTTCCATTGAAAGATTTACATGAACAAAAACATTATTTTGTTATTTCATTTTGTTCATATTCCTAAAATGCCAAGATGTGTCATGCAGAATGTAATAAAGAGCATAATGTTTTAATTTCAAAATAATCAAAGCAATGTTAGTATGAGATCGGTAACAGTTGAGTGAAATCGGTCAAAATGGTTTGGATGGAAGAATTCCACTCATAGACGTGCCCCTTCCCAAACTTCCACATTCCCTTTCCCTTCTTCACATCACCCCATTCAGTAGGGTCTCCCAACCTCCAGTTTGGCATTTTCAAGGAAACAGAGAAAGGGCACACACTTCTAATAGAACAACTGAACATGAGTCAATCTAGATCCAACCTATTCTATGCAATGGATACAAATAGTGGAAATGGCTGATAAATCAGTGTGAAAGCATATGTGAATTTAGGTCTTTTAGTCATTTCACCATGATGCTCGGTTTTTAGAATTGCTGAGGAGTAAGATGCTTTCGACTTCATCTTCTCTAAGCAAAAACTGTAAATGCATCATGGTCTAAGCTCAGTCCCAGCTAGAGTAGACTCAAAGAATAAATGGGATTTTAGTAAGTCAGCTCGTGCCTAATTTCAGCTCAATCTACTCTAGTTGTGTCTAGCAATTCAGCTTGCAACCAAGGCTTCAGAAACTTCCAGCAAGTCAGTATGTTTCACATTCAACTTAAATTGGAAAGACCTTTAGGAGTTCATTGCCTAATAATTTTTAATAAGCAATATGGTTCTGTACATTTCTCCACAAAAGCAAGCCCCATTATTCAGTAAAATGTACAGGCAATTCCTAGATAAGTGAGAATTTTAGCTCTGTTTGTATA